TATTAATGCCTTTTATAATAATGTTCTTTATTTTAAAGCATTACCTTGTGATGGTGTATATGAAACCGTGTCGATTGTAGACAATTTAGGAAATAATGTGTTGTATATCGATTCTTCCACTAGTTTGGATAAGGCATCCTTGTGGCATTGTCGTCTTGGATATGTGAACAATAAGCGCATAGGCCAACTCCAGAAGGCTGGAGTCTTGGATTCATTTGAATTAAATTCAGATGATAGTTGCGAGTCTTGTTTGCTTGGAAAAATGACAAAGTCACCCTTCACTGGTACTTGCGCTAAAGGTGAAGGTTTGGTGGACCTCATACACACAGATGTGTGTGGACCCTTCAGAACCGCCACAAGGGATGCTAATCGCTTCTATGTGACTTTCACTGATGATTACAGTAGATATGGTTATGTCTGCTTAATCAAGCATAAGTCAGAAACCTTTGAAAAGTTTAAAGAGTTTAAACAGGAAGTGGAGAATCAGCTGGGCAGGAACATTAAGATGCTCCCATCCGATCGAGGAGGAGAGTATCTTAGTACAGAGTTCCTTGACTATCTTAAGGAATGTGGAATTGTTTCACAATTGACACCTCCCAGAACACCACAACTTAATGGTGTGGCTGAGAGGCATAATCGAACCTTGTTAGACATGGTTCGTTCCATGATGAGTCGAGCTTCGTTACCAATCTCATTCCGAGGGTATGCCTTAGAGACTGCCACCCATATTCTTAATCTAGTCCCTACCAAGGAGGTTGCCAAAACACCTTACGAGATGTGGACTGGGAAAGTTCCAATTTAGACCACATCAAGATTTGGGGTTGCGAGGCTTTCATGAGACGTGAGACTCAGGACAAGCTCGAACCTCGTAGTGAGCGGTGTATTTTCATCGGCTATCCACAGAAATCCTTTGGTTACCTCTTCTTTAGACCCAGTGAGAATGTGGTCTTTGTGGCAAGGAGATGGGTCTTTCGAGAGAGAAAATTTATAAGCCAAGGAAACAGTGGGAGGTAAATTGACCTTGAAGAGCTTCAAGAGTCAAGTGGTGAAGGAACCTCAAACCCTAGCGATCAACCTGAGGAGGAAACTCCTGTTGAACCAACTGACGAGTCTCTAAGGCGTTCCACTAGAGTTAGGAATGCACCTGAGCATTACTATGGTTTCCATATTACTGCGGAAGGTGATACATTTGTCAGTGATAGTACACTGGTAAATTTGGATGAACCTAACAGCTATAGGGAAGCCATGACAGGCCCCAAGTCTGCTAAATGGAAAGAGGCTATGGACAACGAGATACAATCCATGTATGACAATCAAGTTTGGAACTTGGTTGACAATGTACCGCGCCGTAAGACAGTCGGGTGCAAATAGATCTTCAAGAAGAAGACCGACAAGGATGGGAAGGTGCACACTTATAAGGCGCGACTGGTTGCGAAGGGTTTCACTCAAACTCAGGGAGTTGATTATGATGAAACCTTCTCACCAGTAGCAAATATTAAGTCTATTAGGATTATGCTAGCCATTTCTGCATTTCATGATTATGAAATATGGCAAATGGATGTCAAAACCACATTTTTAATGGAAAGTTGGCTGAGGATGTTTACACGAGTCAGCCAGAGGGTTTTGTCAGTGCAGAGTACCCTGATAGAGTGTGCAAGCTTGAGAAATTCATTTATGGATTGAAACAAGCATCTCGCAGCTGGAATCTTTTTTTTTATGAGAAAGTCAAAGAGTTTGGTTTTTCGAGAAGCGAAGATGAGGCCTGTGTATATGTCAGAGCTAGTGGGAGTATAGTTAGATTTTCGGTACTATATGTGGATGACATACTACTCATGGGAAAGGACATCCCAACTTTGCAGGAGGTTAAGTCCTGGCTTGGGAAGTGTTTCGCTATGAAGGACCTTGGAGAAGCTACCTATATCCTAGGGATAAGGATATTGAAAGAAAGGAGTAAGAGACTAATTGGACTTAGTCAAAGCACCTATGTGGACAAAGTGTTGAAAAGGTTCAACATGCATAATTCCAAGAAAGGTGACTTACCGATCCAACATAATGCCAAACTGAGCAAGGCTCAGAGCCCGAGTACAGAGGCTGAGATAGCTGAGATGAGTCGACTTCCATATGCTTCCGCTGTTGGCTCGATCATGTATGCTATGACTTGTACCCGCCCTGATGTGGCCTTTGCTTTGAGCATGGTCAGCAGATATCAGAGGAATCCTGGCAAATCTCACTGGACTGTGGTGAAGAACATTCTCAAGTATCTACGGAGGACTAAGGACTGGGTCCTTACCCTTGGTGGGAGTGATGACTTGAGAGTAGTGGGGTATAGTGATGCTAGTTTTCAGACTGATAAGGATAATTTCCGTTCTCAGTCGGGCTGGGTCTTTACCATGAATGGAGGAGCAATTACCTGGAAAAGTTCCAAGCAGGATACAGTAGCTGATTCGACTTGTGAATCAGAGTACATAGCAACGAGTGAAACAACGAAGGAGGCGATATGGCTGAGGAACTTCATCGGAGACCTTGGAGTTGTACCAGCTATAAAGGAGCCTATGGAGATTTTCTGTGACAGCAATAGTGCGGTTGCCTTAGCCAAGGAACCGAGAGATCATGGCAGATCCAGACACATTGACAGAAAATATCACTTCATAAGACACAAGATAAAAGGACTCCTCGTGGCAAAGAGGGTATCGTCAGAAGAGAACCCAACAGATCCCCTCACGAAGGGACTGACCAGGGTTAGGCATTTGCAGCATGCGAGGCGCATCGGGCTGAAGGACGATATTAGTTTTATAGATTAGATAGCTATTTCTAAAACTTGTAAAATGTAATTGACATTTGATGACTAAATAAAAGTTATTGTTTATTTATAAGTAAGGTGTTGCTATCTTGTGTCAATCGTTTACTATTGTTTCAACTTTGCATGTTTTGACTTCCAGAATAATTACTTTATTCAAACTCTCCACAGTCAGTCATATGTTGGAAGTAGGTATGAATCAAGACTGTCACGAATTGGGCTTGTAGATGTCTAAGGTGTTAGACATAGCAAAAGTTGCTACAACATTCATGAGTGGTCATAAGCTTTGAGTATTGGATTAAACCCACGCTCACTTGTATCACTTCATGGAATTTATCTCGAGTGATCGTGAGACGGTAATATCATATAAGTCTTCAAACCTAGAGATATGAGTTGTTGCCTATGAGTTGGTTGTGCATTGATTGCACGAAAACGCATCAGTAACTTGATGTTATAAAACTTGCCTTTGTGTATAATTCAACAAGTAGTAGAACAAGCATATGAGTCGAAGTTTATCTGTTCCTTTTAGTCCTTGGAGGATTAAAAGCGATATTTGGGCCCCTCGATGATTTTGTTTTGACCTATGTACCGGGCCCGGTCAGAACCAAATTGATGTGTTCAGTTTAGTTCTATGTCAAACAAATTGGAAATCGGGAAACAAACTGTTGGACAATAAGTACGACATTGTTCCATGTATTTGTCTGGCTGATATCCAGAACAAAGGATTATATGATCACTTATCTTAAATGACACCTCATAGTTCAACAGAGTTATAAGAGCTACGATTGCTGGTCGGTTCCTGAAGTCATACTATAGTTATCAGACTTATCCAAGTGGGAGACTGTTGGATAAGGTGTCTAAGTCCGTAACTATATTTGGTATGTACTTGACCCGACCCGGCATGGTCCATTTGGGTTGCACTTCACCGAAACAATTTATATGGATAATCTTTTGAGAATAATATAAGTTATGATTTATTAATATATTACAAGTTATAATATATTAATATGAAATCATATTATTTAATTAGTTTTGATCAAGAATTAATTTAGAATTAATTTGGCGATCAAAAGGAACTAATTAAATATGGACTCTTATATATATAGAATGGGTCAAGTTCATTTAGGATGGGCTAAGCTTACATGGATAGTCCATGGAGTTTTTAACCCATGGATCCTATGGAAATGAAAGGTCATGGGTATTAGGGTTTACATGAATGTAACCATAATCCTCCATACTATATAAAGAGGTCTTTGGCACATGAAATGACACTAGTGTGTGAGTACAAAGGGTGGGCTGATTTCTACTTGGTGCACATTATTCTCTCAAGTCTTCTAAGGTGTTTTGGTGATTTGTGATTCCACTTGAGGCATCCACATTATTGGTGCTAGGCTCTCAAGACTCCAAGCAATCAACCACAAGAGAAGGTATGTTATTCTACTAAAGTTTTATAATACAAGTACCCCATAACATGCTAGTTAGGTTGAGAACCTTGAAATTCAAATTTGCATAAATATTAGAGAAAACATATATCCAAGGTTTTTAGGGTTGCATGTACACCATAGGAGTGTTAGAATGCTCAAAACCCATCGGAAATAATCATATCCTTATTCAAAATTGTCTCTATCAAAATAATCATATCCTTATTCAAAATTCAAAATTTGCATGAATATTAGAGAAAACATAGATCCAAGGTATGTTATTCTACTAAAGTTTTATAATTCAACCCCTTTAGTTAATTAAAACTATTTACTTATTTCAAAATAATTTATTAAATCATAATTAATTAACAAACTTTGTAACATTTCGGTTATTAAATAAATAAATAGATAAAGGCTTACAAATGAATAGTAGCCCTAAATGCGGAGAAATTTAGCAAGGCGTTTGGTTTTGGGGATTAAAGAGTCAGAATTGAGAATTTGGGGGTTAAAATGTAATTTACGGATTTATTTGTAAAGAATTTTAAAGGTTGAGGACTGTTTGGTAAATTACGGATTTAATTGAAAAGGATTTTAGGAGTGAGTGTGTACTTGGTAATTATTAGGACTTAATATGGAAGGAATTATGGAAGCAAGGGCTAAAAGGATAAATTCTGGATTTAAATTGTAAAGATTTTTGGAAGTTGGGGGCTGAATGGTAAATTTCAGATTTAAGTTGAAAAGATTATATGGGGTCAGGGGCTAAACTTGTAATAATGCTTCAAGGTTTCAAATGGAACACGGGATTACACCCGTGCTTTCTCCCTCGCGCATCTTAAACCCTAAACCTAATGTATCATTCTCCAGCCGCCATTTCTCCTCCTCTCACTATTCCGATCCGACAAGGATGCCGCCTGCTGCCCACCGACGAGCGCCACCGCACCTTGCTGCCGGAGATACGCTGTGCAACCGAAGAACCGTCAATGACGTCGAGAACCGCCGGAATATCGCTGGCGACCGTTGGAGGCTGCGTTGTCGTCGTGTGAGGGTCGGGATTCGCCGGAACCGCATGGTAAGACCACCTGTAACACACCTTTTCTCCCGTTCTCTATTCATTTTGATGGTTTGACGTCGGAGATGCCGGCTGTGGTTGCCGCCGCCCGACTGGCTGTCGTTTCTGCCGTAACCCGCTGCCACCAGCCACCGTGGGAGGTGGCTGTGGGTGCGTTTATGGGTGTATGTTTGTGTGTAATTGCTGCTACCGGTTTTATGGGGTTGTATGTATGCTTTTGTGGCCGGAAAACCCACTGCCACCACCTCACGGTGGTGGCTGCCACCCATTGACGTTTTCTGCCACCCTTGGCCGCCACCAGTCACCATAGGAGGTGGCTGTGTGTGTGCATTATGTGTGAAGGGATATATGCTATTTTTGTGTCAAGATTTCAAGCCGCCACCATTGATAATGGTGGCCACCGCCGTGAGCCGCCGCCGGTCACCACCGCCCGAGGTGGCAGTGGGTGGTGCCCAGCCTAGTAGGACCCTAATGGACCTAAAAGCCTAATGTTGGACTTGGTTGGTTTGTTATTGGGCCAAAACCCTAATTAGGGTTTAGAAAACCCTAATTGTGAATTTGTTGGATTTTTCCTATTGGGACCCACTTTTGGGCCATTGGGATTGGATTGTGTATTAAGCCCCAAATTACTCCATATCATTTACTTAGTGGGATAATGGACTTAATGGGTTAAGTGAGAGCACTGAACCCTAATCATCATTTCATGTGAAAACCCTAATTTGTTGGGTTTGAAGTTGGGCCTCTTGTTGGGCCTAGATGTTTTGGGCTATTGATGGACCATCCAGGTGCAAACATAAGGACTAGAGTATTGGATTGGGCTACAAGATAAGGCCCATTGGACAGGCTTGGGCCTAATTTGGAAATTTGGGCCATAACTGGGCCTTGAAGATTATGAGGTATTGGACTATTGGATGGCTAAGTGCTTGGACCAAATAAATGGTTGGGCCTTTTAAGTAAGACCATGTGAAGGATTTGGGCCCAATTTTCCATAGTTGGGCTTTAGTTGATTATCAGACTATTGGGCCTTTGGATTGGGCCTTGGGCTTGAATCCAGCTAAGTTAGGGGTAAAGTATTCTTTTACCCAAGAAAGGGTTTATGGATTTGTACTTGGGATCCAATTATTAATTTGGGTCTATTTGGATGTTGACAGCTTGATGATCTGTCAGCCAGCAGCCCGGGATTTATTCGCGGGACTTCAGTAGTGCGAGGTGAGTCCTCTTCCAGTAGGAGCGGGTCTAAGGCCACAATGCCGGCCCGTTTAGATGTTAGTAGTACCGGGCGGGGCCCGATGCAGTGGTTTAGTTTACATGTTATATGTTATGTTTATGGACTTCGGTCTGATGCCGGGGCAATCCCGAGAAGTAGCTATGTATGCTCGTTGTCTTTGTGACTCACGCATGTTTGTGTTATGTGTTATATGTTCCGGGCTTCGGTCCGATGCCGGGCAAGCCCGATGCAGTATATATATGATTATGTTTTGTTATGTTCAGTACATTCTGGACTTCGGTCCGATGCAGTGGGCGGGGCCCAAGTTATTCTGAACTTCGATCCGATGCCGGGCGGGGCCCGATGCAGTGGGCGGGGCCCAAGTTATTCCGGACTTCGGTCCGATGCCGGGCGGGGCCCGATGCAGTGGGCGGGGCCCAAGTTACTCCGGACTTCGGTCCGATGCCGGGTGGGGCCCGATGCAGTGGGCAAGGCCCAGTATGTGCTATTGTATGGTATGTGGTAGTTTGGGGAGACTCACTAAGCTTCGTGCTTACAGTTTTCAGTTTTGGTTTCAGGTACTCAGTTTTCAAGAGAGGAGCTCGAGAAGATTGCAGTGCTCACACCATTTGTTCAGCCTAGGATGTTTATACTCTGATATACTTGACAGTTGTTATAATATTTTGAGATACATTGTTTATGATTTTTATGCGATATATGATGACTATGGTTTTATTACTGATTTAAAACGAAAATTTTAGACTGTATTTTTGGGATGTTTCAAACTTATTTTCTCCTAATTCTTTATTGGTCATATAGGTCATGGAAACAACCCAAAAAGACCATGTCGTTATTAGAAATACTACCAATAGTTAATGACCTTGGACATTTATTCCAACATAAACACAATTTTTTCTTAAAACATATTCATGAGAATATTAAGCTCAGTTTGAGGGAAAAGAGTTCAAGGATCAACTTTGGAGGTTTAGTACACCTACAACTATGAACCACTTTCACACAAACATGCAAATTATTTCATAAAATGTTAAATATAACGAAATATGCGTTTTACCACATTCACATGGGGTCCTGAACAAGTTGGGGCCAGCTCACTTGGCTGACATTGAGGTTTTATACTAACAACTAACTAGGAGATCTTGAGTTCAATCCCAAGGAGAGGAGAAAATATAATTATTTTTCGTTATAGAAAAACATGAGGTTTTGAGGATTATACATATGTTGGAAAACTTGATAAACAAAAGACGCAATTTCAAGCCGAGTAAAAAGAGAAAAAATTGGAGAACAAAACTACAATATGGAGCCAAATCAGAGAAATGTTTACAATCATATGACAATTTAGGTTTTATGTTTATAGGTAGGTTGCAAAGATTACACATGAACATGTTGTCACGTGTAAGAAATTCACGAGCAAAGACAACTTGAGAGAGAAAAATACCGAAAATGAAGCGTGAGACAACAATATCAAGAAAACATAAGAGAAGATTTAAGTTTGTCTTGATAAATACAATAGAGAAAGGGGATATGATAAAGTATATGATATAATGATAATGTTTAATTTCAACTATGTAAATTAGTATTAGAAATATTATTTCATAGTTATTAACAGACGACTAAGTTATTTCTACTTATATATATATATATATATATATATATATATATAATTGATAGGTTTTATATATTACAAAAATTATGTGGCGGAAAATAACTTAACTCTTAAGTTCACATGCAACCTAATTGGATCTATGTTTTCACTATTGAATGCTATAATCTATGAACATCAAAGAACCCTATGGAAACCCTAATATTTTCAAAAATCATAAATAAGTTAGGGTTTACTTACCTTTTGATTATTCTTGTAAATAACCAATGAAATCTTTCTTTAAAAGCTCTTGGAAGCAAGCACCAGAAATCTCGTGTCTCTGATGGTTCACACTCAAACCCTAGAAACTAAGGACACTTGAAGAGAGAAGATAGGGGATGATTTTCGACTGTCCTTCTAAAGGAATGAGTGGCCGAAAATATGAAGGGTTAATGCCCTATTTATAGCTGCACTATGAAACATTGGAAACCCTAATTTGAATATAATACTATTATTTCAAATTAGGTAATTATCAAATCTCCTAATTATCTTCAAGGGGTATTCTAAAAACCCCAAAACCGTCCACCACCTTAGGAAGGTTCTGGAACCCCTTTTGTTCAACTATTGAACGATTCAGCTTAGGTCCTTGCACTTTTAATTAATTCAATTAATCGCAAAATTAATTCTAATTAATTTATGATTAATTCTTAATTAAATAATACTATTTGTAATTAATATATTATTCTCATAGTATATTAATAAATCATTTATTTCTATTTATTAATCATATAATAAATCAATAAACGAGTCTATCTCTCTCTAGAAGTTATCCTATTCAATTACTAGGTTTGAGGGAAACCCAAATGAAATTTACTTTTAATTCAAGTATATACCAATTTAGTTATTGACGTAGACACCTAATCCAACAATAATTACATAATTTTATTCACATAACAAGTACTAATAAGTAGGTAAAATGATCCAAAATGACAACTAATAACACAAAATTTATCCATTAGGCCCCTGAAGTTTTAATTGCACCAAATTGACCAATAAACCTTTTTTTGTTTTATTATACCATTGATACCAGTGATAGTCAGTTACCAACCCACATGGAGTTCACGTCACCGGTTGTGTCCACATAATCGATGGTAGATTATGTAACATCCAAAATTTTGGTATGTCCTGAAACCCTAAGAAATGATAAGTTTGCATGATTGGTCCCTTAAGTACGTTGGGCGTACTTAAGTGTACGCTTAGCGTACCGCATAAAAAATGGTCGCGGGGGATTCAGGGTACGCCGGGCGTACCTTGAGTTACGCGGGGCGTACGCGCCAGGGACGCAAACCCTAATTTTTCCGGACTTGAGGCCTATTTAAACAACTTTAAGTCCCTTGGACTAAACCCTAGAGAGCCTCCACAGCCTTAGAACGTCCATATACTCCTGGAAACCTTGTGAGATCATTCTTAGGCCTTAAAGAGTGCATTTGTGGCCTTTTTGTGTGTATTTCAAGAAGAAGGGGTGGTCAAGCAAGCTTGGATCAAGAGGGTGCTTCAAGATCCTGCACCAAAAACATCTTGCAAAGATTGTGGAGGTAAAAAGCTTGCATCTTTCCTTTCTAATCTTTACATCTAGCTAGGGTTTTGGTGGTTTGTCCCTTTTATGAACTTTGGACCTCTTTTGTGGAGTTAAGCCTTCCCTTTTGATATGAAAGTCAGATCTGAGGTCCCCTGGTCATTTAGAAGTATAAAAATGAAAGCTTGATGAGAGTTGTGACCTCATGCTTGGGTAAAAGACCTTGAAAAGGTCTTAATGGGGTGGTTGGGAGTGTTTGAGACATGCAAGGGCATAAAGTTGCCAACTTTATGCCTTGGGACATCCTTTCAATCTTAGATCTAGCTTCTGGACGTGAGAGATTCGAGCATTAAGCACTTGATGGGAAAAGTGCTTAATACGATGGTACGCTGGGCGTAACTGTCTGTATGCAGCGCGTAGTCACTAGACCCTCAGTACGCTGTGCGTACCAGGAAGGTACGCTGGGCGTACGCAGCTCAGATGGGCCCTAATCTGTTTTGGGCCTTTGGGCCTCTTTTGGCTAATGAGCTTGTTGGACCCTGTAAGATTGAGGCCTTTTCATCTGTTTGGGCCAAGGACTTATTGGTTGGGCCTTATTGGGCCAAGGGGCCCATTAAGGATATTGGATTTGGATTTTGGGGCCCAATTTGCAAGAAAGGGGTAATTGGGCCGTGGGGGTAGAGTTTGAAGGTTGGGCCTTTCCTTGGGTGATTTAAGGTCTTATCATTGATTATATATTATTGTTATTATTCAGCTTGGTAGGTTGCGGATTATTGGGAGGGCAGTAATTGTATTCATCGGACGGAGGTGAGTCTTCTCACCATACCTATGGGTCTACGACACCAAGGCCGGCCTATTATGTGATCATGTTATGTGTGTGTTATTCATTTATGAATTGATATGTTGTGTGATATTATGTTGGTATGGAAGACCCCGGGGGGGAGCCCGTGGCATTGAATATAAGACCATGTGGGGTAGCCCATGGCAGTCCTAGGTAAAGACCATGTGGGGTAGCCTATGACATTGGATGTAAGACCATGTGGGGTAGCCCATGGCGGTCCTAGGTAAAGACCATGTGGGGTAGCCCATGACACTCTTGTTGAATCGTATTGCATAGCTTCTGTGGCATGTTTATTGCTTATTTATAGGTATCAGGATATGTGTATGTGAATGTGTGTGGTATGCTCTGGGAAACTCACTAAGCCTTTCGCTTACAGGTTGTTGATTTGTTTCAGGTACTTCCGAGCCTAAGGGCAAGGGCAAGGCGTGATGACGTGGCGTGCACTCTATCTCTCTTTTGATGTGTTTGGGACCCTCTGATGTTTGAAAAAGGAAAACAATGAAGTAATGAATGTTGATTTGAAAATATATGTTTTGAGATTTTATGGTTTAGGAGATTGGCTTTGGTTTTTAAAAGAGAAAAATATAATGAAAAATTTTCTTTGTAAAATTGGGTCGTTACAAGTTGGTATCAGAGCCTTGGTTTGAGGGATCCGGGCACATCCTCAGGTGTGTCAGGACTCAAACTAAGAAGGTGATAAAATGTTTTCAAAAGTAACCAAAAAGGAATTAAAAGAAACTCAAAAGATGAGAGTGCAACGCGCGTGATCAGCCGAGCCAAGTAAGTAGTTTCCCAATTTGAATAGCCATGCTATACTGATATTTGAGTCATGTTACTTATATGGAACCCGCTATGTGTATGTTTTTAGAATTATATACGGTTAGGAGCTGATAGCCTCAGAATGATTGATTTGGCCTTATTTTCTTTTCCTTGTTTGGATGTGGTCTTAGGGTAGAATCTCTTATTCGAAAGTCTATTTGGTCCTTTCTGTGTATAATTTGCATGCATAAAAGCAGCCTGTTGTGATGGGTTTGATTGTCATGGGTAGGACAAATCATAGGGCAGCCCAGGATTTGTTTCGGGTGTTAGTTGTGGATTATGGTATTGTATTGGGTTGTATTGGAGTCATTAGGTATAGCAGTGGGGGAAAGGTACGGGTAGGTGTGGAAGGTAGTATTGGGCCCGTACTACTGGATGCACAGGACCTGTACCCAAAGCCATGTTTTACCTGGGGCTCCAAAGGGGAGGGAAACCAGTATGAAAGAACTCTCGTTATAGATATCCTGATCATTATGTTTTGATATTTCAGTTCAGCATGGTGATGACGCGGTTTGGAGCAGGGGGATCAGGATCGGGATTTGGGTCCGGGGCTGGGTCAGGTGGCCCTACTGATGGTATTGACGAGAGGCTGCGTGAGTTGATTGCGGCCGAGGTTACAAAGGGCATCCTTGACGCTACCCCAGTCATCTTTGGGACGGTCAAGGAGGGCATGATGGAGATCATGGAAGAGAGGCTTAGGGCATTCATGGCTGATGTTTCTACGGGTCAGGGTGGAGCTAGAACTCCCTCGTTTCGGGAGTTCAAGGCATGTGGAGCTCCAGAGTTCTCGGGGGTCAGGGATCCCATTGTGAGCAGACGCTGGGTAGCGGACATTGAGAATGCCCAGCGCACAAGTTCTTGCCCTGAAGAGGCAAAGGTTGGATTTGCC